TGATGATGAGGGTGATGATTATGATGAGGAGGATGATGATGCTGCTGCCGATGATGATGATGATGATGATGATGATGATGATGATGATGATGATGATGATGATGATGATGCTGATTTTGATGATGATGATGATGATGATGATGATGATGATGATGATGATGATGACGATGACGATGACGATGACCACGATGATGATGATGTTGATGATGATGATGATGATGATGAGGATGAGGATGAGGATGAGGATGACGATGATGATCATGATGATGATGATGATGATGATGATGATGATGATGATGATGATGATGACCATGATGATGATGATGATGATGATGATGGATGATGAATGATGATGATGATGATGATATGAGGATGATGATGATGAATGATGATGATGAGATATGATGATGAGATTATGATGATGAGATGATGATGATGATGATGATATGATGATGATGATGATGAGATGATGATGAATGATGATGAAGATGATGATGAATGATATGATGATGATGATGATGATGAATGATGATGATGATGATGATGATGAGATGGATGATGATACGATGATGATGATGATGATGAGGATGAGGATGAGGAGTGAGGATGAGGATGAGATGAGGATGAGGATGAGGATGAGGATGAGGCTGAGGACGGAGGTCCGAGATGAGGATGAGGATGAATGAGGATGAGGGAGAGAGGATGAGGATAGGAGGGTGATGAGAGGAGGAGGAGGGATGAGGAGGAGGAGGAAGGAGGAGGATAGGAAGGAGGAGGAGGAGGAGTGAGGAGGAGGAGGGATTAGGAGGAGGAGGAGGAGGAGTGAGGAAGAGAGGAGGAAGGGAGGGAGGGAGGAAGAGGAGGACGCAGTATCTGGAGAGAGGAGGATGAGATTATTTTTACTGCTCTGAGGATGGGGGATGCTTCTTTTATTTATTATTATTTGGATTCGTTCTTAGTCGTATATTCTCTTCTTATTCCTAGTCTTTCGGCTGACTCCATTTGGTCTCTCTTTTCTTCTTCGTCTTTTCTTTTTCTTAGGATTCACTACTTGCAGGAATTTTTCTTGTTTGACAAGGGGCTGTTTGGCTTTTTTTGCTGAGGAGAGGACGAGGGGAGAGGAGGAGGAGGAGGAGGAGGAGAGCCGTGTGTTTTCTTTGAGGCGGGCGTCTGGGACCGAGGCCCTGGGGCCAGGGCTGGGGCCAGGGCTGGGGCCGCGGCTGGGGGCCGGGCTGGGGCCAGGTCCAGGGCTGGGGCCGGGGCTGGGGCCAGGGCAGGGGCCATGGCTGGGGCCGGGGCTGGTGCCAAGGCCGGGGCCATGGCTGGGGCCGGGACATGGGCTGGGGCCGGGGCCGGGGTCGGAGCCAGGCTGGGGGCCGGGCCGGAGCCGGTGGCGGGGGCCATGCGACCGCCCTGGGGAGGGGAGAGGGCCGCCGGGCTTTCTGTGGAGGCGGTAATCTGACCAGGGACCCCCCTCCTCAACCCCCCAATAACCCCCCCGTACCCCTCCCCTCCCCCCCTCGTCAGGGAGGGGAAAAGGAGATGGAATCGACTTAACCACGACGCTTGCTTTCTCTGTTTCCTTGGGACTGGCGACGACGACGAAGTCGATGACTGCGTCTCACACGCGCCGACCGGGTCGGCGGATGTTGCACGGTCTCAAATATGCTCACACATTGAAATGCGTGATTGAAGTACGTAGGGTATGAGACGAATCGTCGCTACCGTATCGTACGCCCTGTCTGATTCCTCCTCGTCCTGGACCGAGCTTCGTCACCTCTGTCTTGCCTGCCTATGGATTGGTCATCCAGCCGGTGGTAGTAGGAGTCGTAGCAGTGGCGTAGAGTCCAGGACACCACCAAGAGCTTGACGAAGAGACACGCAACGGGGCAGTACCTGCCGAACCAGGAGCACAGCCGATGTAGCTCACGACAGAACATACTTCAGGATATGCTGGGGGACGTAGTGACGGCGCCGGCGGTGATAAGGATGACGACGAGAATGATGCGGAGGGAGGAGGAGGCGGAGGCGGAGGCGGAGGAGGAGGAGGAGGAGGAGGAGAAGGTGGAGGGATGCCTCGGAGGGAGGAGGAGGCGGAGGAGCAGGAGGCGGAGGAGGAGGAAGAGGCGTGGGCGAAGGCGGAGAAGGAGGAGGAGGAGGACGACGACGAATTAGTTTACGAGGAAGTTACAAGAATGAGACTATTACTAGTCAGATGGAGAACACGAAGGCATAGCACGAATAACAAGACGAACACTACAACTACACAACATACTTATCAGAAACCGAATAGTAACACGAATGCCAACACTAGCAACATCACAACGCACACTATTATCTGTATTGCTAGCAAGACTTACCTCTCCATATTACTATTGTTGATGCTAAGACTACTGCGAGAAAATAAGAGTAACATTCATATTAGTGCGAAGAAAACGAGCCGTATTAATCATCACAAGACATATGCCAACAATGCTAACAGTAACAAGAAGAGTACAAT